AGCCGGCCCCGCACAGGGCAGCGGCACCGGCGGCCTCGCCCGGGCCCAGCCACCCGCCCCGGCCCCGACGGCACAAAGCGGCCAGAAAGAACGACCTGGCGCCTGGGGGAGATCTCGTCCTTTATTTTCCAAAACGGTTCTCCACGAGGCATCGGCAGAAAAAGAAACGGCTCGGGCTTTGGGGCAGTACATCCAGCACAACAAGGGGGGAAAATAATCAAAAAGCAAATTAGAAGAACAAGAGAAGTTTGGAACAGAAAGAACTAAACACTGTCAGTACTTACATAGCACAAGCAGTAATTGGGCAATACTGTAGATGGCTATAAAACTCTCAAAGGCAAAACTGCTCCAACAGCTCTACTAGCAAAGAAGCAGCATTCTGGAAAAAAAAAATAAATACAAGGAAGACTTTTTTGGTATTTTTCCTTTTTATACCCACAATGTAAGATCATCTGCTATAGCATAATCCCTGCCATTGCCCTTGAAGATCAAGGTCTGCGTCTTCAGGAAGGCTGCAGTAACTAGTCAGAGGAGTCAGCACACAGTCCTGTAACCAGATGCAAGTTTCCATAACAGTCCATGGTTCTAACCAGACTTGAAAAGAAGAATAGCGACTTGGCCGAGGTAGAAGTAGATGAAGTGCTTGGTCTCATGAGTCACGTAGCTGCCAAAGTTCCTTCCCACGATGCAGTGCCAAGTGGGATTGTATTTCTTGTCAAACTCCTGCAACACAGATCCCCAGAAATTAAGAACTGTTGTACATGGGTATTCACCTTCTGAGCAAGGCAATTAGAGGAAGAGCAGATACTCTTAAGTATTAGCATTATCTTATTTACATCTTATTGTTCACCTGCTGCTTAGTCAGAGCAAAAAAAAAAAAATCCACAAAAAAGCCACAGTGCTTCCCATCCGAGCAGTAGTAAGTTTAAAACATTTGTTCAGAGAAAATAGTCTCTCACCCCGTAATTCATGATCCAAAACTACAGCCCTCAAGTAAAAGCTTCACCACTAGTTTTATACCCACAGAGATTAAGCCATAATTTAGACTTCATTGTTCATCTGCAACATGGGTGTTAAAGGTACTCAGTGGAAAATTCTCTGCCACATGCTCTGTAACAGCAGTAGTGCTACCAACAAATAATTTGTTTTATACATTTGAAACATATCCTCTACAAATTCCCAGTAGTTTCTATAAAGAATATGTGAAAAATTTTAGATTAAGCTGTCTTTTACACTGTCATGGATACTTTCTGCATCTGGGGAAAAAAATGCCTTTCTGTATTATGGGCATAGCAAATCAATATTTCTCTCGTGGAAGCAATCATTCTGCTTAGTTGAATTTATTTTTTAACAGCTCTTCCACTCAGATCAGTTTAACTTCCATTGACGCTCTTTGATTTCTCCATTCTCCTGAGCTGACAAAGCAGGAAATGTAATCAGAACTAGATCTTTCCTATGTTCAGTATTGTTAATCCTACATAAAGGAGGACACAGACATTGCAAACAACAGATAATCAGTGCCACCAGGATTTTTTGTGTGGGCTTTTTTTTCTTTTTTGCTTATGTCACTACATAAGGAGAGGTGTGATTACAGTACACTTGCAGAAAACTACTTTTCCCTGCAATTTTGGACCCAGCTGGATGGAACTTTAAACAGATCTTGAAGTTCAATAAAACTGAAACTAAGGACCATGTAAAACAGGCTTTCTCTCAGAGGAAAACTGTGTAAGAGCTCAATAGAGCCCCTGTGTTTTGTACCAGCTCAATCACAGGGACAGTCTGCTGCCACTTGCTGTTCCCTGGACAATGGGACAGCAGCAGAAAAATAGAACGTGGTGCAAGAGAAAAGCAGAAGGACCCGGAAAAGGCCACGTAAAGGGTGGGGAAAAGGAACATAAGGACACCAGCCTACAGACAAAGCCCAACTCAATTATCTACTGTCTCTAGAACTTGTTTCTCTAGAGCTACTTGCCTAGCAGCATTCTGCCTGTTTGATTTTTCATGTTCATAGAGCTTCCAAGAGAATATCACAAGCAAACTTTTACCTTCTTTATGTGAGCGGCAATGTCCTTCTCGATGTTGTACTTCTCTAGGGCCTGAGTAGCACACTCCACAGCATCCTGCTGCATCTCTTCAGACATATCTGCATTCTTGATCACTGCCTTTCGATCACTCATGATTGCCTGTATTGAACGAAGAACAAGAGCATTCAAAGCTGCAGGAGCAGGCGCCTGCCAGGGTCCCCCGCCGAGCAGCCACACCGGTATCCTCGCTGCCAGCCCGTCCCCAGGGCCCGCGCTGTGCCCACACCCGCGGCTGGGCAGCCTCGGGGCCGGCTGGGCCAGAGGCGCAGGCACAGCCCGTGCTCAGAGCCGCAGCAGCG